TGGGGACTTTAGACCCAGAGAGGGAGAGGGGCTGTGTGCTGACAACCAGGGGGCAGGCTTGCAGGGTATACCCGATGGTTGGTTGATGATGCATGGAGGGGATTGTAACCATGGCAATGGAACGATATACAACAGGATGAATGTAACGCTAATGTTCTCCCATGTAAACTATCACATGTTATTGTTGTTATGTGCTGTGGAGTCAGTTCCAACTCATAGGGACCCTGTACAGGGTTTGTGAGGCTGTAAATTTTTATGGGAGCAGAAAGCCTCATCTTTCTCCAGTGGAACAGCTGGTAGTTTCGAACTTCTGACCTTGCACTTCGCAGCCCAATTCGTAACCACTATGCTAACAGAGTCCTTAACATAATTAACAAAACATTAAAAAAAAAAAAAGATCATGAAAGAGTAGTGACTACGGTCTTAAAAGCTTGTGAGCTTCTGAAGTACTAGTTTCTCCGGAACCAGAGCATAGAAAAGTGAAGACAAATACGTATGGAAACAATTAACCAACAGACTCTTGGGTCATACAACCCTCGACCTGCACAACCGTGAGACCAGAAGAACTGGATGGTGCCCGGCTACCACCACCAACTGCTCTGAACGGGATCGCACCAGTAGGCCCAGGATAAAGTAGGAGAAAAATGTGGAGACCAAAAACTCGAAATCGTAAAAAAAAAAAAAAAGCCAGGCTTTCTGTTCGAATAGAGACTGGTAGAATTCACAAGACTGTGGCCCTTAGTCACCCTTCAGGTCTTGAAATGAAGTCACCCTTTGGCTCACTTTTCAGCCAAACAAAAGGCAGGTCCATTGGAAACAACACTAGGGAGGTCCGCTCCCTCAGAATAACTGACCATGTGAGAGCTAAAGGGCAGCACTGACCCAAGGACAAAAGTCCAGAAAGTTAGGAAAGGAGAAGGACTAGAAACAGGAGACACAGGGAGGAAGTGGGATGAGTGATGTTACACTGAGGGGATGGCAGTTGATGAAATAAAGCAAAATGTGTCTGAACTATTGAATGGAAAACTGATCTGCTCTGTAAACCTGCAACTGATTCCCAATAAACAAGATCATGGAATTTTCCCATGAACTTTGTGCTCCTTAGTGATCCTTTAGGGTGGGGAGGGAGCAAGAACCACATGGAAGGAACTGGAGAGAGTTTCTATCCACATTTTGAAGCCTAAAGTTTCACTTTCTAATAGGTAAAGTTTCTTAAAGGAAAGACATACCCGCACAGAAAAAAAAAAAGCCTGATTTTATCGTTTCCAAACAGCATCTAAGACTAGGCTATTATCCAATATCACACCAAAAGGCATTTTTAAAGACCCACCGTTAAAGGGGAAAAAATAAAAAGGTCTTCTATACATGTCAAGGTTTGAATTTTTTTCTGAGTCCAACAAATAACAAAAAACTCTTTTTCCAGTTAAGAGTAAGCACCCAAGAGTCTCTGCAAGCTGCAAACAGTTCACACAGTTGGCTGTTCACCAAAAGGTTGTCAGTCCAGAACACCCAGAGGGGGCCTCAGAAGAAAGGTCTGGCAATCGGCTTCCAAAAAACTCAGTCATCGAAACTCCTCTGGGGCATAGCTCTACTCTGACCCATCTGGGGTAGCCAAGACTTAAGAGCTGTCCCCACAGTAACAATGTTATTAGTAGCCATTGGAAAGCCATGTGCACCAAAACACAGTCATACTACCTACCTTTGCTCTCGAATCCTTTGGATGCTCGTTACTTGGTTCGGGACACTTCTCATATCTGACTTCCTGACTCGAAGCAGGGCTTGTAAACCTGGTACAAAGATGGGAGTTACTCTCACAGGGCTGGAAGCTGTGGCTTCCCCCAGGCCACATCCCATGACAAATTCAAGATCCCAGAGGGTACAGAGAGCATCAAGATCATCAAAGCCATGCTGATCCATTTCCTCAGCTGGAGGGAATTTCTGTCCCTGGCCACAAATGGGCACAGCGAGGAAAGCCTACCTTAAACACAGCATCACCAGGTGGAAGAGCCCCAGGCCAGAGTGATGCTAGTCCCAGCTCAACTACTTCCTCACTGTGGGGGCCTGCTGAGTGATGTGCCCTCCCCTGAGCCTGGGTTTCTTCATCTATAAAGTGGGTATAATTAACACCTCCTCATCCTCCTCTGCAAAACAGATAAGAGGCTACCAGAGGCCCTAATAGCTACATGAAGGCGTTTAGGGAAGAGTGAAGATGCGCCACTAGGGCTAATTAATGGCTATTGTTTCATAACAGCCCCACTGCAGCCTGGCCACGGGAGTCCTGGGCAGTGGGTTGACATGGAGTGTAGGGTCACAGTTGTGTGTCCATGTCTCTCCAGCTGCTGAGCTTGTCAAAGTCACTGTGTCCCTCTCTGGACCTCAGTTTCTGCACTCCTCAAGCAAAAAAGAGAGAGTGGAGATGGAACTTGTCCATCTCTGGAGTTGCAAGAGTTTAGCTCAGGGCTAGGACTGTCAAGAAGGGGACATGAGGGGAGCAAACTGAGCCACTGAACCCTGACTCACATGCCTGTGAATGGTGGTTTCAGTGGTTCAGTGCACGGCTACAAATCAAATGATGGTGGCTCAAACCCACCCAGAGGTACCTCAGAAGAAAGACCTGGCAATCTGCTTCTAGAAGATCACAGCCATGAAAACCCTGTGGAGGAGTGTCACTCTACTCTGTGTCCCAGGGATCACCACTGTTGAGTGTGACCCACACTCAGCAAGGCAGGGTCTCTCCATCCCCCAGGAGCCAGTCGGGAGCCCCAGGATATGTTGTTTCTGAACTCAGAATCCTCTGTTCCCATAGAATAACGTGTGTGAGTTCCCCCTGTGGGATCCAGCCAAAAGCCCTAAGATAAGTTGATTTTGAACTCAGAATCCTCTGTTCCCATGCAATAATGAGTGTGAGTCTCCAGGCATGCAGCACATTCCAGAGAATGCCAGCTTCTGTTCCACCTCTATTCTTGGTGACTTTTAGCTCAGGGGTTCCCTGGCTGCACAAGAGAATTGCTTGGGGAGCTTATAAAATCTAGCAAAACATAAGCCACTCCTCAGATAAACTGAATCCGGATCGCCATAGATGAGGCGAAGGTGAGTCTAACATGCTCAGAGCCCTTGGTCTGGTTACTGCCAGGCCAGCTGCCCTGGTTCCCAGGGCCAGAAGAGCTGTGTGCCCAGAGGCCCGGCCCCTGGAAGCTCCACCCTGGACAAAGTATGCCAATGGTATGCATGTCAATGACAAGCTGGTGAATCACACAGGTGGCATCATCAAGTTGTGGGAAAACAAAGGAGTGAGAGGTATTGGAGGCAGGACCAATCTTAGAAAATCATTATACACAGACTAGTGGATCTATGGGTGAGGCTGCTAACACAGAGGTTGGTGGTTCAAACCCACCAGTCACTCCTCAGGAGAAAGACGAGGCTGTCTGCTTCTGTAACAATTCACAGTCTCAGAAACCCTATGGAGCAGCTCTAGTCTGTCCTGTAGGGTCGCCATGAGTCAGAACCAGACTCGATGGCCGCGGTTTAGATTAATCATATTATTCCAGCTAGTGGAGGGAGAGCTCCCCATGGCCTAGCTTCCCTTCCCCAGCATTCACTTTCTGAGTCTTCATCTCAGTCTTATAAGCAGGGTCTTGGTGTGGCACTATAGTATAAGCACTGGACTACAAGGTTGATTTGAACCAGTGTCGTTGGTTCAAACTCACTAGACACTCCTTGGAAACCCTATAAGGGTTGCTATGAGTCGGAACTGACTCAACAGCATTGAACAATTTTAGTGTTATTCCCAAGTGAAATATTGGACTGCTGGTAACAAGGCTGGCAGTTCAAACCTACCAGCTGATCCTGGGGAGAAAGATGAGGCAGTCTGCTTCCGTAAAGATTGACAACCTCGGAAATCCCATGCCTGATACGATTGTTGTGAGTCGAAATTGACTCCACAGAAGTGGATGGTATTATTCCCATTTTCCAAACAAACAAAGACTCAGGTAAGCATGACCCCTCAGATTTTGTTTGGCACAGAGGCACAGGCCAAATATTCAGTGTTACCAGGTTGAGCTGGAATGATATCCAGGTTTCCAACTTCCACATAGTATCTCACTTTTCCAACTCTCATCTGTGAAATGGGTATGATACCTCTCAACTCAGACTAAGGAGAAGAGATAAGGGAGTGGAGTTTCCAGCTTGGCCACAGGCCCACACTGTCCACAGAGGGGACCTGAGTAACCTCCCCACATCTCAGCTTCCTCACCTGAGAAACAGAAGCAACAACCACATTGTCTTAGAACTGTGAATTATGTGTTGTTTGCTAACCACAAGGTCAGCAGTTCAAACCCACCAGCTGCTCCAAGGGAGAAAGATGTAGCAGTCTGCTCTTAAAAAGCCTGACAGCCTCAGAAACCCCAGGAAACAGTTCTATCTTGTCCTAGAGGGTCGCTCTGGGTCAGAACCCATTCGATGGCAGTTAAGTGCCAGCAGGTCGATTCTGACTCATCGTGACCCTGTATGGGTTTCTGAGGAGCAGTTGCTAACTGGTTTGAACCACCAACCTCGCAGTTAGCAATTCAGTGCTTATCCTACAGCACCACACCCGGACCCTGGGATGCTCCCACTTACATTTTGGTCAAATCTGCGGGCAGCGGCTTCGTCTGGATTGCCTTCTTCCTGATCTCTGGCTTTGTCTCCATGCTATCCGCAGCCCAACCTTTGATCCGCTCCTGGACACTCAGACATCTTTTCGCCGGCTCAGGAGCTGCTGAGGGAGGCTCAGGGGTAGCCAGAGGGGGTGAAGACCCCGCTGCCAAGGCCAAGGCAGATTCCTCCCCAAACAGGCTGATGCGCTTCTTAATGCTCCCCCTAGTGGTTCGCTCTCCCCGTTCCATGGATCCCCCATCAGCAACTCTGCTCTGGACCTTTGCAGATTCTTGACCCTTTCCAGACTTGGGTGAAGGGGACTCGAGTGCCTTCTCTGGCTTGGCTTTCTCTTTCCAAAGGCTCTGGTCATCTTTGGGGGTGACCTTGGCTGAGCTCCCTGGAGTGCTGGGGCAGCCCGTCTCTGACTCCTTGAAAAGCATCATTTCCTTCTGGTCCCGGGGTTTCTTGGTCACCTCCAGGAAGTCTGAATTCTGGTCATGAAGAGGACACTTTGTCTTGGCCAAACACTCCCCATCCACTTTGAGCTCATGGTTGGATATCTCTGTGCCCCGACACCAGGAAACAGAACCTGCCGTCGCCCCGTTTCCATTGTTGGCCACCTTCTGAAGCAAGACCTCTCGGCTCTCAAAAGGGGCAGTGAGGTCCATGGACAAAGGCCGTGGCTTCCTCAGCCAGCTCTTCTCAGGAGGGGTGGGCGGAGGTCGCCCCACCATGGCAGCTCTGCCAGGAGCCAGTTTCTGAGGCTGTGTGGATTCTATGAAAATAGCCGACGTGGGCCTTCTTTTCAGGCGTGGCCTGGCCTCCTCCATGCTACTGGCCTTCAAAAGAGTTTCCTTTGGACCGCTCTCCTGTTGGGTCGCACCTGGTTTTGTTCCCTCTGATAGCGAAGTGGGTCGGGGAAAGGTCCCCATAGGCTTCCGGGATGGCAGGGCAGGTTTGGCAGCCACCTTAGGCTGGGAGCCTGAAAGGGTCTGGTGGGATACCCCAGCACTGGCCTCCTGTGTCCCCTCATCTGCCCCCTTTCCTAGACTGGGCCCAGTTTTGATTGTTTCAAAGAGAATCACAGTGTTGGGGTTGGTTCGCTGGAATGGGGTCTTGGTGAACAGAGATAAGTTTCTTGATGGGCCCTCCCCACCACCTGGCTCCTGCTCCACCAACGTGGGCATCTTCTCATCCGGACATTTTTCCACCACGTCCTGGGAGAACTCACTGGAAGAAGACGGCCTGCTCAGACCAGGCCTCACAGACACAGTGGGAGATTTCACATCAGGGGCCTTCTCCTTGGAGAAGGGTTTGGGTGCAACTCTCGGCAGAGGGAATAAGTGGCCCTGGTTCCTAAGAGGATTTTTTCTTTCCAAAGTCCGTGCTAAGGGAGCTCCTGAGGCATCGCCAGTCTGGCAGAAGTAGGTCCGCTTCAGGGTCTCCTCCTTGGTGATCTCACCGAGGCTTGGCATCCCGGTCAGGGAAGCTAAGGAGCCAACTTCGACCCGCGTCACCATATCTGCAGCTCCATGAGGATTAAGAACATCAGAAACGAAGCGATGGCTATATAAAAAAAATAATAATAATTAATTAATTACAAAGCTCATTCAGTAGCTAGGTGTGGGGGTCAGGGACAGCTCTAGAGTTCGGACTGCTCCCCACATGAGGCAGTGTGGTTTAGGAGAGACTGGAGTGAGGGTCTGAACCACGAGCTCTTCTGTCCCTTCACCCCTGGGATCTGGACAAAGACTATGTTCTCTCTGAGGTCCATTCCAACTCAAGGAAAGGCACCAACATTGGCTAGGATTTCTTCCCCACTCTCCGCAAATCTTGGAGGTCAGCTGTTCCAGAACAAAAAGTCATTATCTTCAATGTACAGAGCCGTGGTGGCACTGCAGGATAAGCACTGGACTGCTAACTGCAAGGACAGTAGTTCAAACCCATCAGCCACTCCTCAGGAGAAACCTGAGTTTTCTGATCCCATAAAGATTTAACAGTCTTGGAAACCCTATACGAGGAAGTAATGAGTTGGAATTGACTCAATGGTTGTGGTTTTTTTTTAAATTTGGGTACAGATAAGGAAGTCAGCTCAGAGAGAGGAAGTAAATGACCCAAAGCAGTTGGCAGGTAAGAAGTAAAGTCAGCATTCAAAGGCAGATCTGACCCCAAAATTCACACCACACAATCCTGACCAAAGCTTCTGAGAGGCTTTAGGCTTATGGCAACTCCTATGAGAGAACAGAACTACCCCCACAAGTTTTCTAGGCTGAAAGGTTTATATGATCTTAGAAGAATTGATGCATTTGAGTTATGGTGTTGGAGGACAACATTGAAATCACCATGGACTACCAAAAGAAAAAACAGATCTGTGTTGGAAGAAGTGCAGCCAGAGTGCTCCTTGAAGTCTCTCATACTTTGGACATATTGTCCGGAGGGACCAGTCACTGGAGAAGGATATCATGTTTGGTAGATCGGGGGGGAGGGGGGGGGAATCAGAGAAAAAGAGGAAGACCCCCCAGCAAGATGGATTGGCAAAGTGTGTCAACAATTCTAAGGTTAGCCCAGGACGAGGCAGTGCTTCGTTCTGTTGTGCTTAAGATCGCTATGAGTCAGTGTTGACTCGATGACACCTAACAACAATAACAAGGTTTATAGGAGCAGATTGCCAGATCTTTCTCCGACAGAGCTGCTGGGTGGGTCTGCACTGCCAACCTTGTTAGCAGTCAGTGCTTAATTGTTGTGCCACCAGAGTTCTGTCCCTTAATCCCACTAAAATCCACTTCGACTGAGTCAATCCCAACCCTCACAAACACTACAGGATAGAGCAGAACTGCTCCCTAAGGCTTCCGAGGTTGCACCTCTTTAGGGAAGCAGACTGCCTCATCTTTCTCCCTTAAAGAAGCTGCTGAGTTTGAACCACTGACCTTTCGGTTGGCAGCATAGTACTTCATTGTGCCAAATATTTTACCATTTCTTAGCCTGCCCAAATCACACATGGGAGGTGGAGCATCAGGTACAGAGAGAGTAAGTGACCAATCACTGGGGTTACAAAGCTGATTGGTAACCTTGAACCCAAGCCTCAGTCCCCAAGCCCACCAGGACATCCTTATTGTTCCTCTTCCCTGTAGCTAGCTCTAGCCCTTTCAGATGCCAAAGCAGGGAGGGGACTGTCCACACTTTTTGCATACAATCTGCTGTTGTCATGTGTTTAGCTTTGGTTTCTTTGTGGTTGACCACTATTTTATGTCTTCCTGTTCTCAAAACTCTGGTGGTGCAGTGGGATAAGTGTTGGCTGTTAACCTCAAGGTCAGCAGTTCAAACTCACAGCCACTCCTCAGAAGAAAGATGAGGCTGTCTCATCCTATAAAACTTTGCAGTCTCCAAAACCCTATGGAGCAGTTCTGTTTTGTTCTACGGGGTCAAAATCAACCCAATAATAGTGGGGTTTCTTTTGTTCTTATTAAGATAAGTAATGGTGACGGCTTACCATGTGGAAGGCCTCGAGTGAAGACAAGTGTTTGTCTAATAAGTCCTCCTCAAACCCTCCTTTCAACCCCCCATGGTGGGTACAATTGCTGTTGTTGCTAAGTGTTATCAAGTCCATTCGCTCATAGTGACCCCTCTATAGGGTTTCCAAGGAGCAGCTGGTAAGTTTGAACCGCCGATCTGTGGTTCAAAACCACCTTGTTCAAACCCACAGCATCACACAGGACTCCAATTACTACACCCCAATTCCCAGAGGCTCAGGGCCTAAGTCCATCCTTCCTCTGGCCTAGAGCGCCTCTACTCTCCGTGAACCAGCCAACAACCTGAAAGGGCCAGAGTCCCCCTTCTCATTATGGAGACAGATGAAGCGAAGGCTCAGAAGGTGGCCCAACTCACCTCCAACCACACAGTTGAAAAGCTGTCTCTGTCGTCTTAAAAGGTAAAGGGGGCGTTGTTTAGGAAGAAGTATGTTTCTGGTTTTGGTGATGGAAAATTAGGCAACATGATGCATTAATATCATTAATATCGGTAACTGCACCTGAGAAATGATGAATTGGAAAATGTGTACTACATACATATGTATATATGCTATTTTTGTTGTTAAGTGTCATCACATTGGTTCCATATAACAAGCCTGTATTGGATTATTCAACTCTTGGTGTGGCGCTGTAGGATCAGCACTGGACTGTGAACCACAAGGTCGGCAGTTCAAATCCACCAGCTGCTTCCTGGAAACCCTATACAGAGTCGCTGTGAGTCAGGACCAACTCGACAACACTTAACAGCATAGGATATCCGAGGCCGTCTATCGATGCAGAAGCAGAAAGCCTCATCTTTCTCCCTCGGAGCTGGACTGTAAAAGTCAGTTTGAATGGCAAGGTCAGCGGTTCAATCTCAAGAGTCACTCCTCAGAAACCCTATACAGGGTCACTATGGGTTGGAACTGACTTGACAGTACTTAACAACAACAACAACACATGCATCTGTGTATGCATGTATGTGTATATGTATGATGTATGTATGTACATCATTGTTGCTATGCGTCAAGTTGGAAGGGGCTTCAAAACACGAAAACCCCATTATTCTTTAATTCCACTTGTCCATGAGCATTTTGACGCCCCCTCGGATGTATATATACATGTATTTATTGTTGTTCTTAAGTGCCTTTGAGTAGCTTTCTACCTGTTTAGGGTTTCCAAGAAGTGGCTGGTGATTTTACACCACCCTTTTGCTTCCAACTGACCTTGCAGTCCAGTACATTAACCCACAGTGCCACACCAGGACTCCATACACATATATAAATATATATATGTGGCAAGTGTATATATATGCAGCATAATGGGTCCATATGATAAGCACTGGACTACGAACCAGAAGGTCTGCAGTTCGAGCCCACCTGCTGGTCCGCAGAACAATAAGGCTTTCTGCACCCTCAAAGATTTAAAGCCTCGGAGCCCTAAATAAGGTCATTATGAATCAGAACCAACTTGAAGACACTTAATGAACAACAAAAACAACATGTGTGTGTGTGTGTGTATATATATATATATATATATATATACATATATATATACATATATGTATATGTATCTGTGTGTTCATGTAAAAGAATTGTATTACGTAGTTTTCATTCCTTTCTGGTCTTACAAGGTGCCTGACAAGCCCTGTTCTTGGTCCCCTCACCTTCACAGCAGTGTCACTGCTCCTTGCACCCCACCAAAAGGCACTGAGAATAGAAGGTATTTGGGTTCCGTGACTGGGCTTCCTTAGGGTCCCGAGCTGTGCTGGCTCTGAATCACTCTGCAGTCTCCAGGAGAGATCGGAGGACAGATTTTGTTATTTCTCTTCCTTACACATTCAATGGTGCTTACAGATTCAGTTTCCCCAACCCGCAGCTCACTGTCTAGACACCGCAGGTGCTAGAGGCAGAGGCAAGGGACACACAGATCCAGCACCCTGGGCACAGAGAATTCCACCATTAAAGAAAGACCCCAGGATCCAGCCAGAAATCAAGGCTGTTCATCCATTGATACAGCTAGCCCCTCCCTCCCCCACCTTCTGGAAACCCCACACACTCAGGACAATGATGGGAGGGTAGAACCACTGAGGAAATCCCAAAGCAGAACCCATGGGCACCCCCTGACACTCCAGCCCCCTTTGCCTGGTTAAGCACCAGCCCCACTTACCGGCACTGGCAGACCTAGGGTGTCACGTCTCACCCCTGCATGGTGACCAGGGCTGTGAGCACACTCCCATGGTAGAAGCGGACTGTCCCAGCAGGCTGAGTTCCAGCAGATCTGGAGAGACACAGGAAGACAGTCTCAGTCCCAGAGTTCCGGCAATGTGTGCACAGACAGACGGCGCAGAAGCTCTCACGGTCCAAATGCATTCGTTGGCATCTCGTACAGCTTGGGAAACGCGTGCTCTTTACGGCTTTCCAAGACGATCCCTTTACATGTGCGTGTGCATAAATGGTGCTGCGTCCACCATAGGAACTCAATAAAATCTCCCCCAAAAGCCCCTGGTACATGATGAAGTGCTTCCCATATCCTGAGGACTCTAAGCAAAGATGAAGAAGGCACACTACCGGCACCAATAAAAAACACACAGAAGCAATTACAACACTTGTGTGTTGTAAATGTCATGGTTTATAAAAGGGAATGTGTAGGGAGAATAGGAAGATTAATGCCCAGAGTGGGGAGCTGTGATCCTTGAGGACTGCATGGAGGAGGTGAACTCCTGAGCATTCAAGGTGCTGGGTCTACTGCTCAGCAGCATTCAGACAATGACCCTTTTCTGTAGATCCTCAGGGATGCTGGGTGGCACCAATGATTAAACACTCTGCTAGCCAAAAGGTTGGTGACTCGAATGTAGCCTGAGGCGTCTCAGAAGAAAGATCTGGGGATCTACTTCTGAAAGGCCATAACCATTGAAAAGCCCTACAGAGTACAGTTTGACTTGGCACTCATGGGTGGCCATGAGTCAGAATCAACACAACAACAACAACAACTACTAAAGACAGCAGCAGCTC